ATCTAGCCCGATTTACGCCTACGACTACGAAGGCCCGGAAGATGTAAACAACCTGAGCGACTTACATACTACTGCTTTACAAAAAAAATAGGAGAGAAAAAACAGTTACAAAGAATAAGTTTTGTTGAACTACCTAATTAAAACTAGTTGAAGGTCCAAGAGAACATGAAAGAGAAATTAAAAAGCAATATCGTCAATCTGAACCATAACTAAAATCTGCACGATACTATAAACACTCCTTTCACCAATACCAGTAATTTTAATAGTGTTGCTAATTCGATTGCCATGAATTATTCACGATATTAATTACGTTATAAGGGAGCGCTCGACTCCAGTATCAAAACAAAATGAAAACGACTCACCAAAATGCTGCAAAATACTAGCAAGGGTAGCAATGGTGCAGACGTCCACATGTCGCTCACTAGCAATACCAGCAGACGAACCATCAGGCTTGCCACCGTTGCATCTTCTTCAGCTACAGGCATCTTGAGAGTAGTGACCATCTGCTTCATAATTGAAAAACGTGACAGCAGCGTTCAGGTTACTGTTCTTCATATTAGGAACGCTTAGTTCTTCTTACGAAGGCTTCAAGTGATTCTTCTTGTATTTTGTCAGGATCGAATTCGGGCAGATGCACATGTGACTCGACGACGGCCCAGTCATGACGTAGATGAGGGCGAGAAAGTTTTGATTTTGTTACTGCAATAAGATTCTCCATATCCATGACATCTATGTGTCCACTTGGTAGGTTACATCCCAACTTCTGATGTCGGAAAGTCATGCGGGGCCGGCGGAAAGTTAGGTTAGTCAACATCCGCAATCTGACTAGTGGTCGAGATATTCCTTCGAAATAAGATCGCATATAGATCACAAATCAGTTATTTAGTTGAATTATTTAATTATCTAATCGGAGTACATTAATAATAACTCGATGCAAACGAATTGCGATACGAAACGCGGAGAGTTCTGCGCTTGCGTTCGCTCAATATGGCCGCACAACGTAAAAGTGCCATCTTCGAACAAGCATAGACCACTCCCAAGCGATGACAGCCGTCAATGTCATAACTTGACGTTTCGCAAAGCACCATAGATCTTGACAGATGACAGCTGCAGGTGACAGATGGCGTTTCGCACAATCGAAGCGCCTTCTCGCCGACATATATATAAACTAACACGTCCTATAAATTTCTACGCAATCAACTCTTTCATTATTCTTAACATTTTCTTCATAATTCCTGCAGGCGCCAGTTCTCTTAGCAGGCGAAAGGTAATTGTACAGTCGGGCAGGAGACAGACTTGCTAATTATTGTTTAATCTAGACGCGTCTTAATGATCCGCCGGGAGCCGTCGCCCTCTCAGGGTCGTAGGCCTTTTATGCGCCGCTTAAAGTGCTTCAGGCACTGCGGATTTATTTACTATGTAGCCAAAGTTCTGTCTTGCGCAATGTTTCAGATTTAAGCAGGGTTCGTTGATAAATATAGACGGATATAATATCAATCGATATTTATATTATTTATTGTGAGTTTGAGTTTTGAGTATTCAGTCTTAGCTAAAAAATTAATCAACCCGATGTGACGCTAACAACATTGGCCCGAAGTAGCAATCTTACTTACTAGAAATATTGGATTTTCCCGTATACGTTACTGGAAATCCTCGCTAGCATACTAATTTTTAATTATTTCATAATAAATAAACAAATATTAAATAACTCAAACTGAATTTTTATTTTACACTTTTGATTTAAAAGATCAAATATTAAATAAAGCCTATGAAAAACTGGTAGCTCAAAAATCGTAGCTTTTCATATCCATGATGTATATCGGATGAATATCGGATATTTTGATATTTGTTATAAATATCGGATTTTTGCGAACCCTCGTTGGAAGCATTTCATTAGCGTTCGATATTGGCAAAAAAAACGATAATCACTGTTCATATTATTTGAAAATATTATGACTCAGATATTATCGATTAACAAAGTAGTAATCTCATTACAAAAAAAAAAGAAATGAAATTCAAATAAACTTATATAAATTACTTTTAAAAAGTTTTTTTTGTAAATAAAATAAGAGTCGATTGGTAAAGCTTCGTTCGTTGCGTAAATTCATTGATTAATTTAATTTCTTATGCCTATCTCTTTTTTTTAAAGTGTATGCTTACGTAAAAATTACGCAGTTGCAAAAGTGTAATGTTGTCGCTAGGGCCTCGCGACGCGGTTGTGTCAAATTGACTGTTGATAATACTTGCACGTGGTTGGGGTATTGCACAACATCGGTGGATGTGTGAATCTATTGTTAAGAAACTCAATGTTGATGCTAGATGACTCGTTTATGTATGTCACACACTTTTCTGTGGTGGTGAAGGACGTGCAAACATACAAACTATCGAATCTCTTATTTTTATAACATTAATACAAACAACCTTACATTTCTATGCAACTAACTGTGAAGGTGGTACAGAATGTGGAAACTTATATGGGCTGATTTTTTTTTATAATGATGTTCATTGATCATCATCATACATTATTAATATTGTTGTGCGAGCTGTTATCGCTTGGAGAGCCCACCACCAGGTTTAACTTAATAACTTTTAAATATAATTGTGGTTTAATCATTTGATGTGTTTGGAACTCTAGCCACGTGAAAATGAGGTCCTTTTATTGAAGACACACATTATACAAACATCACATAATCCCACTTTAGAGGTGCTTCTGATTATTATTATAGTTCTTATGCTTTACTTTGCTGTTTTTTATATTATTAAATTGTAATGTAATTATGTGACTGTAATATAATTAGCTTATTTGTGACCAGAAGAAATAATAAAAAAATCTTGCCTCGGTTTCACTTTCGATTTAGGTCAATTGACAGAGGTTAATCATGTACATCCGTGGGCGCCTACTTTTAGTGCAAAGTTTTTCGGCTAGTAGCTCTGCTTGTACAACCCTTATCTCTAACTATATCGTTTCGTTGATAGCTTCTATTTGTCGCTAAAATACCGATACATATTTGATTTCAAAAAATGTTTCATATTAGAGAGAAAATTATATTATTTCTTGTCTTTCTAAATGTCGTCGTTGTTAGCATATCTGTTGCAAGGTTTCTAGTTGCCTAGTTGGGGTCGTTGTGTAGTTGACTGACGATGTCAGCTATTAAGTCGACTATAGTGCCGGCCTTCACACGTTGTGGCGCCGAGCCCGACTGGTGGACCAGCACTACCGTACATGAATCATTCAATCAACATGTTATAACTAGTGATTAAAGTATTATTTACTTGATGTTTGTAACTTTTGCGGAGCTTTCACACGATTATGAGGTAAAAATTAGTATTGAATAGGGAAAATATGAGAGGATTGTAACTTTGCGAAATATTCTTAAATGAAAACTGCTTCAAATCTCAAGAGATCTTCCCATCTCAGAGTACCAGGGACAAAGTGGAGTTTTAAGCATTTTTTTATAAGATTTTTTTCCAGTATCGCATTGTCAATACATTCTGATTGATCAAATAGAATTATTATGTGAAATAAATAGCTTTAAAATATACAAACTTATAAAGTATGTTTACGATAGATATGACAGTTATTACCGGTAAGTTTAATAAAATAATTGTCACACGTATTTATAAAAACAAAATGGATCTCGACACTAACGCAGATTTATTGTTATTATTTGTTTGTGTTGTAATTTTTAATTATCAACATCCGTTCTTAATGTCGGCATGTTGTGTATATTATACCGTGCAGTCTAAACAAAATATGTACGATATCAGACACTAACTAATTTGCTCTGTTAATTTGTTGATGAAAGTATCCAATTTGTTCATCCAGGCAATTCAGAGAGTCAGTGATGTGATTGCATTTTCCATCACATCTCTTAAATTATTTTTTATTGCGTATGCCTCTAAGATTTAACTGTGTAATATTGAAAAGTGGTTTTTAAAAATATCTGCAAAGATTTTTCGGTTGATGCGTTTATTAATAATATGGCGTATGCGTTCATTAATAAGTTTTTATATTCATAAGTTAAAAGATATCTAAATATATAAGATAAGCATTAAATATAAACATTTCTTGAAATGTCCACTCGTCAGTGTGGAAACGTCTTAACAAAATAATGTGAATAAGTGTCAATAATATGTGCATTGTAATTGTATGAAATGCACAGAAGCTCATTGCACGTGCACAATTAATCTGATAATTATTTTGAAAATTTTCCTTATCGTGTTTCTTCCGTATTGGTGAATTAAATATCTATAATTTTGTTATTTTCTGATTATCAGAGAAACAATAAATATTTTTTATTATTATAGGTTACAATTTTAATTGATCACGATAACGCTAGACCACGCTCTTATGTTAGTCATTCAGGTAACAAATCTTCCTGTTAAAATTAAAGTTCGTCTCACCAAAGAAGTCCCTCGGATCACAATATTTCAGCTTTTCTCACAAAGGAATAAGAGTTATGCCGCGGGACTTCTTTCGTGAGACGGACTCTAGTTGCCGCGGTTTATTAAAGTTAAGAAGTCTAAAATATTTACGGCAATGGAAGCACTACGTATAAGACAAATAGATATGTAACAATATAGCGCGTATATACTATCATACGCTGCAGGGGCTCAGGCCTTCCTTATGGATGGTTAAGGAGGATGGCCCTCCACGCTGGCTCAATGCGGATTGGAGGGTATTAACGACTGCAAATGTAGCCGAGACCAACGGCTTAACGTGTCTTCCAAAGCACGGAGTAGGTCGGGATAACACTTTTCGGTCACCCATTCCGTGACCGACCCTTGCGAAAGTTACTTTATAATAATGTTCGCGGGCCACGGCGCTCGTATACTATGCCACCGAGCTACTCTTATAGTAAAATGAAAAAAATAATCGCGAAGATTGAAGGACGCATTTGAAAGAGAATTTTCATCAATCTTGAAAAACAAACCACAGACAGATTTCAGCGAATTTTATGTAGATAATGATTTCTATTTACTTTCTTGTATACCTACAGAACGGTTTGCTGTCCTCTCTGCCTTATCTGGGCAAGTACCTGTGCGCGTTGGCTACATCAGTACTGGCTGACCACCTGAGACGGAGCGGGCGACTCTCCACCACCGCCGCTAGGAAATTGTTTACCGGACTTGCTGTGGGACTGCCCGGTATGCACATTCTTATTGGTTCATTTACACTGGTCTTTTGCGCGCTCATATCATTGGACAATAAAACAATGACCTACCAATGAAAGCGTAGAACACAATTTGCCCGTACGCTGCAGATATCATAGACTAATGTTAATTCGTCGTTATTGTTGAGATAACGTGAGTTCTAGGAATTAAAGAACTAGCGAACAAAAGCGTACTTGTATATACAACCACTTTTTATACCCTTGCCGTTCGATTTAAATAAAGATGCATATCCAAAAGATTTTCATTCACATTCAATTTGCTTTTATACAGAAACTGACTTGTCTTTTTAAAAACGTGAAGAAATCTGCTGTGATAAAATTGTTGGACTAGACATTTTCGGTGGACCAACACACCGAATATTATGTACAATAAAACTAAGGTTCCGTTATCGTTTGGTTACGCAGGCGTCATGATGTTGGTGTTGACGTTCTACGGCGAGGACCGCGTGTGGTCCATCGCCATCTTCACGACCGCTCTCACCATCAACGGCGCCGTCACCGCCGGGTACCTCGGCAACGGGCTCGATATTGCGCCCAATTTCAGCGGTAAACATTTCATTATTTACTACTAACTGTCTCGTGAAAGAATTTTAAAAATCGCTCCAGTATTTCTGAAGATTTCCCCAAACAAACAAAGTTATTATAATATTAGGATTCCTATTCGAATGACATCGATTGTATCCATAGGCCTGAGACCAAGTATTGGGTATATTAATAGACTTGTGATGATAATATTAATATGGATAAGCCTTATTATCAAATGCTGTAATTTTTATGATTGCTTCACATTGTAAACGAAAGTTGCAAATGCACGGTGGATAGCCTCACAATTCCATAATTATGATAATATGATTCTTCACTTCATATAAAGTTTGACTGTGCTGATACACCTCTGTCCGCACAATGTTTCTAAACAGAGGTACGAAGGTTAACACCTCGCGTCAATTTTCTATTTATTAGTAAGGTGCACTAGTGATTTTTGTCATCGTGCTCCTGTTATGTCTATGGAAATCACCCAAGAAGTTTGGTTATTTTGTTATTTATCTTTGTACTATATTAATTTTAACATAGACTTAATATATTTTATTTAAAGTCCTTGGAAGTTGCCTAATTGTCACGTGCTCGAGTGCGCATGTTATTTCCTGAAGCAACTAGGTAGTTAGATAAATATGTGGTGTATAAGTATTATTTTTTGTCAATAGATAGATAACACTTTATTGTTAACACCAAATACGAAACATACATAGAACAAAAAACAATATCACTAAGCTTTGTGTCACAATCGGTGATGTTATCACTATACAGCGATCTCTTCCAGACAACCTTTAGAAGGAGAGATGAATTATCTTAAAAGTACGAGGATGTATAATAATCTAATGATTACAATAGATATTAAATAAATATACGTACATTAAACAACATTCCTTCATATCACTACATAGTATAAAACAAAGTCGCTCTCTCTGCCCCTATATTCCTATGTACGCTTAAATCTTTAAAACTACGCAACAGATTTGATGCGGTTTTTTTTCATAGATAGGGTGATTCAAAAAGAAGGTTTTTATGTATTATACAAGACCATCCTGGCGAAGCCGCTGGCGGAAAGCAAGTAATATACGTGGGAGAGCCACGCTTCGGCATGAATGGGCCGACTCGACCGGAGTGATACTACGGCCTCACAGAAAACAGACGTGAAGCAACGCTTGCGTTGTGTTTCGTCGTGTGAGTGAGGGTATCGGAGGCCCAACCCCTCTATTCCCTTCCCTCTACCCCTCAACCCTTCCCTCCAAGGCCGGCAGCGCGCTTGTAGCCCCTCTGGTGTTGCAGGTGTCCATGGGCGACGGTAATCACTTACCATCAGGTGATCCGTCTGCTCGTCTGCCGTCTATCCCATAAAATAAATATAGTGATATATCGATCGGTAGTCAATGTATCTTTAAGTTTTATTAAATGTAAATTCCTTTGTTCAGGTACTATCTTTGGTATGGCAAACACCCTTTCGTCGTTTGGCGGGTGGCTCTCTACGTTCATGGTGGGCGAACTTACTAAAGAGCATGTGAGTATTTTTTTCTATTTGTCACTGGATTAAATCTCGAAATCCGGACTTACCTCGAACTTCTCCGTACTTCAGAAGACAAGTCTCTATTAAATTTGAAGAAGTCACCTATGTTTTTCTTTCCGTGTGCGTTACTGAAAACCTTGTCTCCTAAATGTGGGGGTATTAATATCTGTGTCAAGAACACATATATTTATTATGATACTAGATTATGAAGCAGCTTGAATCAGTAGTCGTTTCTTTAATTACAGAACACTGTCGAGCAATGGATGATCGTGTTCTACATTCTATCGGCGACATACATTCTGGGCGCTCTCTGCTTCCTTTGCTTCGGGTCTGGTGAGAGGCAGCCTTGGAGCTGTTCTCAACCGGTTGCAACGAAACAGGAGGAGGAACCTTTGCACGAGGAGAAGGCTTAGAGAAACGAAGAACAGGTTGGGCTGCGCGGACCAACGGATTCACCTTAAGCTCATTAATACGATGCAATTGTAGCGGAGGTAGAGCGAGCGCTATATACGCGTATAGCGACGTCTCACTCTAATAATAGCTTTTGCATCGCGTTTGGGACTGGTGGAACTTATGGGAGCTGCATAGGCCAGACTGATTTGTTTAATTACTAAGTTAATGTTTTTAAGTAATCGTATGGAGGATATTCTCTGTTTTATAGTTTTGTCAGACTTTGGAATGTAAGAAATACGCTGCATTGTAAAATATCGATTTATTTATCCAGGAACGCCATAGATGTTGCATTTGAAATATGAGAATTTTGTGTCGGTTAAATTAAATTAGAATTGAGAGAGTAGTTACTATATAATATTGTTACTTTATTTATGTACCGGTCTGACGAAACTATTAACTATCAGTTTTGCGACTTCACTAATAGAAAAAGTGACGTCACAAAACTGATATTACGATCTAGCAGATATTTCGATTAATGTTTTGAAGACACTTTAAAACATTCAATCGAGATTCTATAGCGTTGCTATGACGAACGCGACTATTTATAAAGTTTAAATAAGAATAGTCGCGTTTGGCGAAGTAAAAGTAATAAAAAAAAATATATAAAAAGAAACTCAAAAAAGGCTGTTAATGTTAATGATTGTGATTTATTTATAACGTGCTGGCTTGCGCAATGGACACTCGATTTTATATAAACTCCGTTTCTATAGCTCTGCCCGCTCACTGATATATAATAAATTAATGCAAATCAACTTCATCGATCACTTAGTATTTATATATATTTCAACATGAACTTTATCACATAAAGTCTGAATTTGTCATATTAAATAATATATAAGAATTATATAATAATTTAGATCAATTTCGTTCTGCGTTCAAGACGTTTTCTGTGATGTCACTAGTTTCGCCCTTCGTATGTCGCCGCTGTGACGTCACAGCCAACGTAAGCGCTAGGAAAAGGCGTGCGGTAGTGGTGCTATAGAAATAGAGTTGTAACTGAACGGTGATTCTGAGAAACCCGACTCATCGTTATTTGAATATTAGTGCTAAGAGACTCAAGAGGTACAGTATTTAGATTTTGTTGGCCCTATTAGGCTTTTGGTAAGGCTGTGGACTAATATACCGACAGTTATCCAACATTATATGTATACATTTATTTAAGGATTGAAAATTATCTATTACATAAACAAATTTGAAATGAGATATATATTGCACGTTCTGCAAATTAATTATTGTTTGGTTAGATTTTCGTCTTTTTAAAGATTGAAGCCTTTTATGAATTCAATATGCTCTAATGAACTTTGTGTGAGTTGCATAAACTCTTTAAATCAAATCATATGCTCATTTTATTTGAAGCTAAGGTATATTGTCCATATGCTATGTTAAGTTGCGATGTGGGTGTTTTGTAGACTGACTGATTGATTACTTCTGGTAATATGTATCTACAACTTTCGGATATTTTTTTATATTTCCTCATCGTACGACACTCATAGAGAATATAGATAAATGTATGACAAAGTATTCTTGGAGTATACAGTCTACAAATATACCCAGCAAATGAACTGATAGGTAGTTAAGGTTTAGCGTGAATAAATCAGGGACCAAAAATATAAGGGCAACAAAATAACCACACTCATATTTATAGCGTATTTGATTGTTTAACACGGAAAAATATCGACTTTATTACGTTGCAGTACGGTCGTTATTCATTGTCAATACTATGTTTTTGAATCTTTTAGCAGTTTCTATAGGAGAATTGTTTTGTTTTTTTTCTTTAATGATTTATCTGCGCATTCGCACAATTCTGCCAATGTCAAGTGAATAAATTAATTTCTACATGTAAAATGAAATGTATGAAAGATGGAGATGGTCTCGCGATTCGAGTAATCTGGTTGCTTTGTCAGGTAATATATTTCAAAGTAATGTTTATTCAAATAAACTTATCAAAAGTCCATGTGAAGTGACAAACTTTTTATTACTTACCATTACCACTCTATCAGGACACCTTTTGGTTGATATATAAAGAGGCTTTTATAATCTAATTTTCAATTACGTTTTTACCTTCGTTATAAATAAATGTAAAAATCTGATTTTCCTATTCTTTCACTTATCGACGTTAAAACGTTTAGTGTCGACTGTCAACCAATCTTTAAATGTTATGCTATAAATATGAGTGCTTTAATTACTCGAATTTCTTGATAACAATGTATTAAGTATATTTTATAAGTATCAATTTATTTATTTTTGTACTATATCGAAAGTTTAGGAAGATTCTGAGCCAATCTTGTTTACCCAGTGGACGAAACTTGACCATAGACAAGTCTCGTTTCTTTTTTTTTTACCGTAAGACATATCTAGATTTTAAGATTAAGCCATGTTCGCACTTAGCTTTATTACAAGGGACAATGCATTGTTTTATTGTGCATTTCGACAGCTGTGATAAAGAGATTTGTCTATGGCCTATTCTATGTTATAGTGTCTAAATTTAGAACACAACTTTAGATCATTGGTTGTTCAAAATTAAATCTTAACGGCTATTAGTAGTTCCTAAATTACGATCAGTATTCAGTGACATTTTGTTGTTTTCTTTTGTGAGCCTCCACGGGCATTAATTTTTTAACTATTGCAGGGTAAATTAACCATAGGGTATATAAATAATACTTTTAAACAAATTTATATAATAAGGTCTCTTCTGATCACGGTGCATGTCGTAGCAAGATCGTAAGTGTTTGAACTAATCCAAATAAATAATACAAGGGTGACTATGATGATTGTTTACAAAGCTGCGTCATTTACGGAAGATATTAATGACGTGGTTTACATAGCACCTGAGTGAATAGATACTATAACATAAATTGCATCTGAGTGAATATATACTACAATGCCTAGCGACACACTGCGAATCATGCACCGTGTACATAAGACCTTAGATTACAAAGAATTGTCCGTGGGAATGGAAATATTAGGTATTCATTTATTTATGCTATTTCGTATAACTGAGGCATGCTGTTGTGCAACATCACAACGGCTGCATCCAGCGACCTTCACTTCTAAATTGTATTTTCTCGTATTAAATTCAATTTTGAAGTAGCAGTAACGGTTGTTTAGGATCAAATTATATTAAAAAAAATGTATTTGTTAGTGAATTTATCAAATTCCATATAGAAATGTATTAAAAAGGGGTACTTTGTGCGCATTGGCATCTTTTTAATAATTTTCACACTATTTAATTAATTATGATCATATGTAATTTTAATTTAATTGTTAATATAATTATAATTACATAAAATTTGAAAATGGTAACTCGTGAAATAGATTAAAGTTAACATAAATGAGAATCTTAAATAATCAATAGTAGGTATTACAGTTTCATCACAAGACAACAAATGCCCTATTCAAAACATGTAAGGTTGATTTTGGCACACATACAACATGTAAGAATGTGTTTAGTGTGCCGCGATAAACATGAATTAAGTATTACTTTGTTAAGTCGGATGACAACTCTGTACTTTGTGAACCGTTTATAATGATTTTTGAAAATAAACTTTTTAATTATGACTCTGTTGGTTTTCTTTCTTTTTATTTCTACAACTTCATTATTTCCATACATTTATCGATTACTTTTTTTAAAACGCTTTATTTGTTGATCAACAAAGCAATATTACCTTTTTTGAGTATTAGATACATTTCAATGACAGTTTATAAATGATTAAAGCAAAGGAATATTTCCGAAACACCTTCATATAATGGAGTTTGAAATAAAAAACCTTACGTTGGTAACTTAAATAGTTTATTGAAGAAACGTTACACATTAGCACAGCCTAGCTGTCCCTACGAAGCGTCCGCTTCATTTCTATCGTTACAAGGCAAGGTGAACCAACACTCGCACACTGCCGACCTCCATTGCTCGGTAATTACTTATAAACAATTAGTCGATGTCGATATATATGCTTTATTTATTATTGACAATTTACTTAGAAATAAAGAAAACTTGATTTACTGTGAAGCGCTCGCTTGTTTAATTAAAGGAGAACGATCGACACTATTACCCATATAATACACCGCCAGAATAATTAAGACTGATCGTCGTACATACTCGTCGTATATAATAAGGGGTCATTTTACATTGGCATTTAGTTACAAATAGTTTTCTTTGTTCGGTTTCCGAGCAATGAAGAAGTAAGCAACAACGTCGACTCTACCTATCACAGGTTTTAATATCTACATGTTATGTGTAGAATGTGAGCTTATAGATGCAATAAGTTATTTAATATACAAATTTACACGTACTTATTACTCTTGACAAAAAAATAAAATTAAGGTATCCTGATTTAAGGTACTCTGTCGACATTATACAAGACGGTATATAAAGCTTCAATAACATACCGATGACTAAATATCATCAGAGGGTTCTAGCATTCGGTATTTCCGCTCGCACATCAATAAAGAATGTGGTAAGTAAATAATGTATTAAGTTTATACGTCTACTATATAAAGTAGGTTTATGTATAAGGGATTATTATAGTATAAAGTTAGTGTAAATTTGTATAATATTAACAAATAAATAAAAGGTAAAGTGAAACATTGCGGCGTAGCGTCGCATTAAATATCACATGAATGAGTGCATTTATATACTATTTTTTTTTAAATTATCATGCAGTGTTACCTGAAAAACAGCTAATACCTTCTCCTAAGTAATCCTCATGACAAGAGACAAGATATTTAAGAAAGAAAGACAACATTGTAGGGTTCAAAAACATAATTTATCTGGCTCTTTCCTGGTTTGCAACATAAACTAGTCTGTGAATATACCAGTGTGTACCAAAATATGTTTCTCAAGTAACACCGCGCTAACTACATCTATTTCAATTAAATCGATCAACAGATTCATTTAACTACGAGTATTATAGCAATTTGTACTAAGCGTGCTTCTTTTTATGTCAAATTGTTGAATTTTCGACTCTATGTACATACAATTTAGATGCAATTTTCAATAAATAACTACAAAAATTCAAAATAAATTTGTATTCGTAAGAATATGACGGCGAAAAAACTGAGATTGGTAGACATAAATTTAAAGGTAAAATAAGCTTTATTTATATTGTACTAAAGATTCGGTTTGTGTGCAACATAAGTGACACAGAGCATTATTTACATACAGTCCTTATTTCTTATTATAATGTAAGGACATAAGAATTTCGCTAATGGCAGTTACCAGATAAAAACATATACTTCATAACATTATTATCATATCTTTACAACATTACATAAATGTCGGTTAACTAAAGACTAGTGCGTTGGATTATATGAAAAACTTCTTGCCGGATATCAACAAATAGCAAAGAAATCGTTGTTTCATATTAAGTTTACGATATTTGATTTCATTTTGAAATTGTTAAGCGCCATCTTTAGTTAACCGGTATAAACATCTTAATATGCTCAAAGCACTCCATTTTGATCCCAACATTAGAAAGAAAAAAACACCTATGACTCACGATCACGTTAAAACAATGGCTTTATTCACATCTTAACCTACGGCGATCGCTAACATGCACCGAACAACCTTAGTAGCTGCAAGATGTTTGTGCACCGTTCGCAAATAACTACATGTGCAGATGAAAGGTTCTAAAGGCTATCAAGTCCCGAGTATATTCCGTTGAGGGGCAAAACAGTGGTACAGTCGGTGGTGATTACGAGACTTGCCGCTTGTGCACGTTAGTTATTTGCGGACGGTGCACTGGTAACTTGCTGGTATTACTTAGCAACCAATTTTAAGTTAATGTTGCTGAATATCGTATTTTACAGTAATTTCAAAAGAGATCCGCAAGATAATCTCGATAAAGCGATCGCCTGTGGTTACACATTAGTAGAGGTCCTAATTAGTGCTAAATGTCAAAGGAAAAAGAATTCACGTCCAACTTATAGATCACCACGCTGTGTGTGTGTGCTGTAGACGAGGATTAATATTTTCCATTTATTTAAATGTTCTACGAAATCTAATCAATTTACAAGAAAGATCCCGTCATTAATTATTTATTACACATCGCACGCTAATCATAAAAAGACATAACTCGGCAATTGCGATATTGGAGATTCAATCATAAAACTTTAAAACTTAATGGTTAAATTACCATTCGCAATATTCGAGTTACGTCTTAGTTCATTTCTGTACTCTCGAATATAGGTCGATCTCAAAACAATCGGTGAATTGCAACCGCTTGATTAAATTATATATTCTAAAGGCCTTACTAATAAGAATGGTGTAGTTATACTTTTCACACCAATATAAAGACACATTGGAGTGACTTTAACGGAGCTATGTGAAACTAAACAGAGGTTATAAATTTACTCATCATTAAGACTTATATTTATAGCTCGGGCTCTGATTCTCCATTGACATTTCACACTATCGGATACCAATTTAGATACAATAATCATCACATCAAAGTTAACACGTCACATACACAATAGACTAGAAAAAATTTAAACAACCACTTTAACACTTAAAAACAACGATTGGTCAATTGACAATTAGAATTACACAACAGTTAAATATAAATAACGAACAGAAAACAATTAAATTTCATCGAATACAAGAGAATGATCTGTAACGTTCCTTAATTGACACAATTAACGTACGTGATATTCGATTAGTTCCAATTAAGCTCAGAAAGTGACAAAGGGACTGGACTGGACATATTTAATTTATCATAGTATGCCGTCATGGCCACGGGTCATGGCCATGCCAGCGGAATTGCCGTGGCTACCCACGTGCGTCCGTGAGATGTCAAAACGGGTGACAGATGTGATTGGTACGACGATTGGCATCACATCTGGCGGTTCAATAAGATAACGATGGTTTGGCTTTATGAATGATGATTTATAAGTATTTATTTTCTTGGAAAAGCTTTCTTGGTAATATTTGAGACTTTTTTTTATAGACGCTTCCGGAGTTGTTGTCATGGCATTCTTATGAATCATTCATTGAACTCTCTTAATTTAGATAAACTGTGTGCACAGACTGCAAAAACTCGGAAATAGGTTTAATACAAATCTTTTAAATATAATTCTATTAAATACAATAATCCATATGTTTAAATATTTATCGATAAATATTAACGGAGTAGTCCAAAGCATGACTAATTAAAATTTGTGTGCGCAAGCGTACCATGACGACACGTTCACAGAGATTATATCGCACACCTAGATCTAAACTAAGACAACTCAAAAAAGTAATGTGGAGGTCTGACAATACATTTATTTACGCGGCAGGAACGCGACCACTGTTGATTCGACAAAAGAAAGCTAAAGTTATCTATCGGCTCATCCCCGAACCTTGATTGAATTTGTTATGTTGGATAGATGCGTATGATCACAGAATATTTGAATATTGTACAAAGTCAAAACTCACTCAAATTTTTGAGTTGTCTCAGTTTAGATCTAGGTGTGCGATATATGCGTTTTGCACCACGACCTTGTTGCTAGGTTCTGATATTTCACTGGCCCGGCCACCACCACTACCACTACCACTCCCACATGAGAATATGCCTAGGATTTCCATTTGCCTTTTGACCAGCTCATTGGTCATCTGTTATCGGTCAACCTGTTAGGCGACAAGGGATAGTGCTTAACGAATTCTCCCTGAGTCATAAAAAGACGAAATAGGGATAATAAAAAAGTAGCAGGTCAGTGTAAAATCACGCCTAATACCGGTATTATAAGTATTTAATAAAAAACGACATTTGAAATCATGGACAAAGTTTGCATACAAGATCAAGGTGCAAAACGCAAGCAGATAAGTGTGGAAGCTCGCCGTCTACCAGCTTCAGTCGACTATCCTTCGCGTTTCCTCTCTACCAGTCCGTACGAGTGATTCTCGTCCGTGAAATGTATGCAAAGTACGACATTCGCTATCGAACGCATTAAATATGATAAAGAATACTATAAACAGTTTCTATGCATCAGTTAAATAGTTTTTTTTTGGAAATTACAGTGGCATCTTTGACCGCAAACTTTTGGTATCTATTGGTGCGTTGTATAAAATTAACTATAACATTTAAGTTCACATTGCCAAAATCTATTCATGGGTGTCCTATAGTATTTGAAGAGAAAAATCAAAACATTGATTTCAGTACACAAAAGTGAAAGATGCCTGCATAATTGCAATGAAAAAAAAAATGTTTTCGTCAACTTTAATTTTGAAAGCTTCAAACGCTATCCGCCATGATCTGACGTCATTTGGTCAGTATATTAATAATATATAACTTGTGATCTGTGTTTTTAAACCATTGTTACATTTGTATTACGGAAAAATACATTTACTAAAAGTGGGCTGATTGTGAGAATAACCAAAACTTCGTTAAAAAGGTAGAATGATGTTTGTTTTTTCATAATGGTAAAACCATTATTATCATATACCTATATGTCAAGTCGAGTGAAACTCACTTAGTAGCGCCATAAATATCCGCTAGATAAAACGAGAACGCTAGAATGTTGAACGTTATGACCAGAGGTCAGAATTAGGTAGAGTTATTTATGTACTTGCATCGAAATGTTGATATTAATGTGGACCTTCCCGGGATTTCTAATGGACAATCTTGGACATCTTTGGATATCCGATGTCATTGATGTAAGTTTGGCAACGTCGTGCGTGCAGTAGTTTAAATTGTGTAAAAGTAAATAACTTTTTATTTAAAAAATCACGGGATTTTTTCTGCTCTTTAAAATTAATCTCGGGATTTGAGGCATATCCACTTTATTCTTTCGCTGTATGAAATCAGTGTAAGTACATGAATAACTCTACCTAATTCCGACCACTGGTTATGACACAAAATGGCGGCTAGCGATTCGCGAGAGAAGAATATTCATAAATATTACCTTTTGACATTTTCTGTTTTATTAAAACGAATTCTACTGATTTATTTTAGGACAATTGCGACGAGGAGCTAGATGAAAACTCGTACTCAACATTCTGTACAATAATTTTTGTATCGAACGTGGTACATCTTGCATTTCCTCGACAGTACATCCATACAACGTACTAAAAACCAATAAAAAGGTATCTAATAAAAAAGACTTTACTATAAGGTGCATACAGTCCCTTTTACTTTCGCACCGCGGCAGCACCTAACCTTGATTCGAACCAACAATACAAATCTACTTTGCAATTCCGTTAGGAACCATCGTGTTAACGAAATATGTGTCTCCCTGAAGCATATTTATAATATTAAGTGTTATTGTATTCGCAATATAAGTAAATCTAATTTTTATATTCTATCTATGTAAATTTCTTTTGATCTGTAGAATTTCTTTACTCGATAATCTATGACAGACCAATGAAACTGATCCACATTAACTCATACTCTAAATGCGAGGTAATGATATTTTAACTGCCAATAGATGTCGCTAGTGCGCGTTAAACATTTAAAAGGGATTTCTTTATTGATAGAAAAAAAAGGTTACTCAAATTAGCACACAAGCGACATCTTTTGACAATCTTAGAAGAATACTCAAAACTAAGAACAATAATCGACGCAAATTTTACACGCTTAAGGTTCTATATCGGTTGTATCCACATTTCGTCTGTGCGTAAAGACATTTCTACAGATGAAAAGGTTTATAATTCGTCTTAAACATTAAATTCTTAATTTATTATTCACTCAAGGCAATTTTTAAGAAGCTTTGTATTTCATTGGTATCTATGTACTAGCTAAAGTTCGTCGTTTACTTTAAAACTAATTATTAATTATTATTATATTACCGCTGGAATTGGAAATTTGTATAAAATTTATATTGAATTATTAATTTAATAAATGAATAAACATTTGGACATAGTGATTTCCATTTTTCTGAATTTATGGTAAAGTGAAGTATTAGAGTTGAAAATTCGAAGCGAAAACTTATTATTTTAACATGGACTTTGTCATTCTGAAAAAAAAAATGTAAATTTATAATCTACTCATAGACTTGTTGGATTCTTTTCAAAACTTAACTTGTAAATAGCGGAAAAAATAACATGTAACAAAACACATGCATTAATGTTTTAAAGACGAATTCTTATCAGTAGGTTGACATAAACACCTTAATTTTTAAAACAATTATAATACTGTATAAGCAAACTTTAAATATAATATTGCAACTTTACAAAGTCACTTCAACAAACTACAGTATAACGTAAAATCCTAAAAAGATGTAAAAAAAAACAGACAAATATGATTTTTTTTATAAAGTAAACTTCAAAATTTATTTGAATAACCTTATCGTTAACAAACTATTTCACCTGTTTTGTGGTTTGAGCACTAAATCTAGCTTAATAGAACATATTAAAAAGACACGTTAAGGTGCGTTCAGACTTGTGACATTTGAACGCTTAGTGCACGGTGTAATTAATTACAATATAGCATCTAGCTAATTAGCCACGCTTGAATTAAAATAAATTACAATAGTAACCTTAATTTTATAATAAATTAGAAAGTAAGAGGACGCTGTCTTTCTGAAAGATGTGACCTCGTGATATGTCTAACATTATTGTCAATAAATTCATAATTGCTTACTTAATATTAACTTTAACGAATTCGTTTCTCTAACTTCTGGTCGAGGTACAAACTGTAATGTTCGATACACAAACACACATTCATCAGGAAAAATAGTAATTTTTCAAATCTATTTTGAATTTAGTTATCAAGAGATTATGATTTAACGACAGATAATAGTGAATAATGAAGTCTGTTGTACTTCGACACGCTCGTGACTACTACCACTGAGTGCGGTTCGTTTAAGTGTTACAAGTGTGCACGCACCTTTACACCACAAATTCAAGTACAACAAATTGGAGACAAATTTGATTAAGTAACATATTTTGTATGAACATAATTAATTAAAGTATTGACAGTCCAGTATTATTTAATTACACAATTGTTTTTAATATTAAACAAGTTCACTGTAAGTTTTATGAAGGTATATAAAGAATGGAATTTATTAATAAGTGTTTAAGGGATAGTGGTTCTAATGCGTAACTTACAAGGTCTAGTTTCGGTGGCGGGGCGCCCGCACTCCTTCCCTATGGGATGCGTACTGACTGAAGAACTTTACTTGCCTGCAAAGTTAATTGTATGTTTTAAATTTTTATTTTTAAAAGCATATGATATTGCGACGACGCTAAGACGGTATAGTAAGAGCTTTATATTGTATTATCTAAAATGAAAAATCTTGAAACTTTGACCGTAAATAACATTATATAAAGGTTACATTTTAATAGTTATTGAGTGGGTAATATCTAGTGAAATAAACTCTTACAGCGCTACTTATAAACGTGGTATAAAATGTTATATTAGTGCAGAATACGCAAAATGTCAACTTATAAACTCGGTGTAACTTATGCTTAGCATAACCTGGATGTAACGTTCTAACAAAACTTATTCCACCGATATTCCGCCCGTCACCCTAGTATAACTGGTGTAGCAACGGATTTGTCAAATAACATTTTGATATTGTTGATGCTTTATTGATATTTACCGTATTAGATAATTTTTAATAATATTAAAACGTGTTTTTATTGAAATATGGCGTTTAGACAATACAAGAATTGGAAGATATTAATAATTTGATCAATCGATCGCAAATGTTGAGGACGAGAAGAAAATCTAAAATATTTAGAACTAGAAATGCTCCCTTCCTTTTGTACAATGACGACGAATTTCGTATAAAATATCGTTTTTCTAAAGACGGCGTCTTATTGTTAGAACGTTTATTTGGCAGTGAGCTATATTGCAGATACTGATAACGCTGAGATACTACTTTTACATGCCATTTTGATAATAATTTGTATTTGACTTAATAATTTACAATAACTTCCACAAAATCACCCGCGTCTTGTTTAAGGAATAACCACATGTAACGTAAATCAACCAAACTTCAAACTCAGTGATATTTGACACTGCAACCGAATCACAGACAAAATACTTTCTTTTTTTCGATTTTGTCTATGAAATGCGGCGTTGCCGCTACGTGCATCGAACATAAGGGTGGAGTACTTACGCCGATGATATACCAAGTTTATAAGTCAAAAGATATTCTTCCGTTATTATGAGCATATACCGAGTATAACTATTCTTGGTATAACGATTGAATAACCATAGTTTAATGAATTTTTATAAGTAAGGCTGTTAGTAATAAACTCTAGTGTAAAAATAACTTTAGCCAACGGGAAGAGAGATTAATTTATCGTTGTATGATAAATTTGGTATTTGCAAAGCGATTTTGTGAAAATACGGACGCTGAATCGAATTCACTCCTGAATGCGAACTCAAGTCATTTAGTATAGAAATTCTATTCCCAAGTCATATCAAAACTCACTTCACTTATGCCAAGAAACGTTATTACCAATACAAGGTTGAGCGGATGCCGCTTTTGCAGAATCGCAGGGCTGTTTATTAATTTTATTTCTCAAAACGATCATTAGCTGATTCGTAAGTACTATTACTTATAGTGTAAGTAAAGGCGCTTTTATAAAACTAATTTTCCAATGGGTAATCCATCGATTCACACTGGGTCTACGATTAAATTCACGTCCGTGCAGGTGAGATCTATACAGGGTAAAATTTCAATTAGCGAACAAATTGTATTCCTACGGTTTAGTAAACATTATAGCTTTTTTGGAACTTTAAATTGAAATGTCGATATTTATTAACGTTTTATTTATTTCAATAATATATAAACTGGATATGTTTTGACGAAGATCGAACATCAATCTTTGGGTGCAAAGTATTTACATCACAACGTACACTAGCGGATGGTCGTTTTTTCGTCGAATTTAAATTATAATTTTCAAAATATAAAATCTTCAGTCTTATCTCTTATAATTAGCAGATCAAATATAATTAAGATGTACACGTACACTTTAGTTTTAAAATATTTTAGAAAAATCACCATATTATGTGCGATAGTGATGTTAGTGTGTGGCACATGTAGTGTCCGTTACCTGGAACTCCTGCTCGGTACTGATGACGCCGGTGACGCACAGCAACTGGTACTGTCGCGCGCGCAACGCGCACGAGCCGCGCCGCAGCAGCCGCAACGCCGCGGCCCCCGCGGACGTGCCGCCGCACAACACCTGACGGACCTGCCATCACACCTATGTGTACACTGCCTTGGAAAATAATTTAAAAAAAAAAGAAAACAGTCAAGTGCGAGTCGGACACGCGCACGAATAATCACGTTTGTTGTGACTCTCTTAAATATATATATATTTTATGTTCGAAGTTAATTTATATATATTTTGTGAATATTTCAAACGTCTATCTGTAGTCTTTGTAGTCGAGTAAAAACAAGAAAAACAATCACGTTTGTTGTATGGGAGCGTCCTTACATATTTATTTTATTATGGTTTTTACAAAGACATAATCTGTGAAAATTTTGACTAAATTTCATGATTTATCAGATACAGCCTGGTGACAGACAGCAAGCGAAGTCTTAGTAATAGGGTTCCCGTTTTTCACTTTGGGTACGGAAAGTGGGTACAAAAACTTTGATAGAATTTTTCACTTGAAATTCATGAAATCGATTAATAAATAAATGGGTAAAATTAACATGACACTGGGTAAAGCCTTTTATATTTCTTTCTTTTATATTTCTACGAAAATTCGTCTTTTCGAAATGATAATACGACTCCAAAGAAATGCATTTTCGATAATTTGTGATGCAACGGAAATAGTTTATCCTCTGAATTAAAATTACCTGTGCAGGAGAATGTGAAGGGTCTAATACGAGTAGTGTCGCTTTGCCATCTTTATGTTTTTCATAACCTATTATAGTACGGGAATGACCTGAAATAAATAGTTGAGAATCATACATTTATAATAGCCATATTCTGTAGCAATGGTTGGTAATCAGAGTTTTAGATGTCACTCGAATTGTTTGACGCGCGTTTCGGTCATTGTCTAGAATAATGACACGTTGTCAACTGCAGGTGAACCAATTTGATGGCAATATAAATTGTCAACTATTAACAACTGTCAAGTCAAAGTGTGAATAGGGATGATGACTGGGTAAAAAAAATGCAATTCTATTTAGTCCGTCAGTCAGATAATAGAAAAATATTAGATACGTATTTTTTTTTACTTCAATTTAATAAGAAATAGTATAGATAACAGGCATTAAAGTTGAGGAGTGGGGGCTCGCTATGTCACAGTTGAGTAGAAAACGTACTCTAACGTGACGTCATGCGAAATTTCAACTCAATGTAACGCCGTAATTTTATGATTAGGAAAAAAATAAGTATTTGTGGAAATATTAGTTTATTTTGTAAAAATGTCCAAAAATACCATTGACATCTCGGGTGAGGCTTATGAGTTAACTGGTATACTAGCAATGACTAGTCTTGATACTAATTTTTTTTCTAAAGGATTAATTAGTAAATATTCATTGGCGCGTCTACTACTACAATAAAATGAATTATTAGTGAAGGAGAAGATATGAAGACTTTTTTCTACGTAGGAGAAAAATAAAAACGGTGAAAAAAATATTGATTTAGATGTGTAAGCGTAACATACAGTTGCAATATAAGTAGAGATTAGCCATAAGCAAATATATACAATAAAGCTCCTTTTATTTATTCATGTTAAATAATGGGTCAGGTAAAACGTTATTGGGTCTTCCTGCCGGATCGAGTGCTGTTCAATCAAAATAAATTTTGATAATATAGAGTGTACAAACGCATGTTTGTGTATTATATTATGGTCCCACATATATGGCTAATTTATGTCAACATTTGTCGGGATCGGAATTCATCCAGGAGTATATTCAATGATTATTATATTAAAAATATCACAAGTATCAAGACATATTTATCCTTTTGTTGTCTTTTACAAATTAAAATTTCTCGATTTGCCATTAGATTCTGGTACATCTATATTCGTCAGCATTAAGGACAACATAATCAGAGCAGACCTACCAATTGGCTACTTGACAGTTTTAACAATAAATTATGAGAAACGCAGGCGGATGTGCCAGAGCATAGTGTGACGTCACATTTTAATAAACCGTACGAGTGCAACCAGCATAGCATGACGAACTAGAGAAGGTTTTGTCTTTGCCACTTTTCTCATTGAAATGTGACGTCACGGCTCGGATAGTTTAATTGAATGAATAAAAATGTTGCTCCGTACGATAAGTACGGTTCGGTCATCGTCAGAATTGGATAACGATTGAAAATTACTCATGTCCGGGTTTGAGGGTTTTTTTAATTCAAATTGAGTTACGTAATATGTTACCTTGATGTTGGAGATACAACGGGGCCTTGTACGCGGTGGGATCGTCCCTGAAGTACCTCAACACCCAGTCGAACAATGCCGGGTGACTGCCGTCCTCGCCCGTCGGCTTGTGGAAATCTATTAGCTGACATCTACACACATACATTTTACTATAAAAAAAGACCGGTCAACGGCGAGTCGGTCTCTTGCGCCGAGGGTTCCACACAAATATTAAAGATCTTTATTTGTTTTGACAGTGTACAGTTAGGGGCTCGATGGCGTAGTAGTTAGCGCGCTCAGTATGCGATATGGTTGTTAAGCCACCAATTTGCCAATTCGCAATGGGCCCGCGTAATGGGGCGTGGCCCATTCTCCCTATTCGATTTGAATCGTTTCTATCCATAAGAAAGGCTTGAGCCGCAGAGCAGTTAGTGGGTACGTTAATGGGTATATCGCCAGCCCATTAATGTCCCCAACCAACCAACTGCAGTTAATTAAAACACATGTTCTGAAATCACGTCATCATAAATAGATTGAGATAAAATGCCAGAATTAGTAAGTAGCTATTTATTAAAACTGTCCTAGAATATACGTTATAACAATATATTTCAAACTATTCATAGGCAACAATATTGAAAATGTCATTACCTTAATTATGCAGTCAATGTGAAAAAAGGACTTTATATTAAAATTAATATAGAGATAACAAAAATAAATTTTAGCTAATGTATGGATACTTGACTATTTTTTGTATCTAGTCAAAATTTTAGTAAATGCAGTTTCGGAGATGGAGACGCATGATTAAATTTCGTTTATTTCCTTAATTAATTTAAAATCTAATTATTGCAAAAAAAAATCAAACAACATATAAAATCTTCATACTAAGCCCTTTCATCTGATATGTGACATACAACCGGTTCCTGAACTAAGAATTTAAAGTTAAGCATGATTCAAAGTACACTTAAACCGTAAACGTAACTTAAACAGATTTTGGTTTAGTTTTTAATTTTTTTTTAATGATAAGTTGAAAGCGATTTGTTAAAACTAGGACTTTTTGTTATGTGAAACGTTAAAAACTTCAGTTATTGAGAATAATCAGCTGAGATTTTGTATTTTTCTCAATCAAGCAACCGGCCGATAATATAGTTAGCAAAACTTACTTTATCCTGAATGAAGACAGTACGGTGACCACCTCGCAAGCTCCGATCCACTTGCGTGTGTTGTGTAACTTTGAACCTAATTGTTCCGAACCCTAGAAATAACAGTATTAATTTCAATAAAACATTGTTACGTATCTTTAATAAAACAGTTGATAGATAATAAAAATAATGATTTATAATTATCACGAAAAGGCATTACATTAATTGTGGAGTTGCAGAAGCGTGCGATAGTAAATGTTTTGTGTTTCAGCAATATTATGTTCCGAATTAGTGAATGTATCCGAATATTATGATTGGCATTTTGCAAGAAGATTAGATAAAGGTACATATAATCCGCATTGGGCCAGCGTGGAGGGTCATGGCCCATCCTCCTTAACCATCTATAAGGAAGTCTTGAGCCCCTGCAGTGGGACGTAAAAGGGCTGGTTATGATATTTGGGATTTTGTTTTGACTTAAAGTTATAAATACTTGTGTCGCGCGTTTGCGAGTATTTTTTCATTACGTATGTTATATCATATAATTACATAAATGTAACACCTGGATATATTTTTACGTATGTATACCTAGTTTTTAAAATATGTAAATAGAATTGTCGAAGTATTAATTTTATAACATTATTATAGTGCCTCTCGTTTCTTTTTTAGATATTGCAAAGACACTTATAAGCCTTAATATAATCCACAGTATGTCAATGTACATGAATATTTTTTTTGGGCACAGCGCTATACAAATTCCGGCCATGTCATTTCAAATAATTATTAATTTAAAAAAATGATAACTAGCCTAGTTGACAACTTTTTTAATTTTATAAATAAATAGTCCATTAATATCTGAGAAATAATGTAGAAGTAACAGTATGTCTACGATTAATAGTTTCGGTGATATTGTGCTGTGCAGATTCAATGCACTAAGTGACGTCACACGGTGCTACCGTATGGGCATCTGTGCAATCTTTGTAATATCTCTGTTTGTTTATAGCTGTTATAATGAAAGTTGCAAATTGAATGCCATATGTACTGTAGTAAATTTTTAGTATATTTACCTTACTTTTTTAAAATAGTAGTTTATGTAACTGTCATACAGCGTGTTTGGTAATACCTGTATAATCCCGAATATGGCACATACGGTATGATGAATAGAACCCAGACTAATGATCACTAAGTCTGAAACCCTGCACATGACCTAGATATTTAGCTTTTTTCTTCGAAGTAAAACTGTACGCTGACAACCCTAAAAACAGCTGTTGTTCTAGGAAACGAGAGAAAGTGAGAGGTAATGAGAGAGAGAGAGAGCGAGTACGCCGGGACGGCACGTGTAAGCTTTCAGGGTTGTAGCATATTAATTAAAAACAAATTGTTCAAATATTTGTATGAAAATCTCAATTTACGTGAAATTGTTTTTTGACATATTAATTGTGTTCTTTGTGCTAGGTTGTATGGCCATGTTTCGGGTTTATACATGTATTACCAAACACCCTGTATAAGAAGGGGTATTAAAACACGAGAGTCTGTTTATCGCATGAAGAAAAGCTGAATGCGATAATAAAACACTACTTTATCTTCACTCATAGGAAAAATTGAAGTTAAACAAAGTAGGTAGTAATTTTTGGAATCCCGAATACAAAAACACGATCGGCCAAAAAATGTATGGGAAGCGCGGGAAATTAAGTTCAAACTACGCACGCGTGCGCCATTTTTTTCATATTCAGCCTAAAACCATAGACTAGTTCCATGTATAAAAAAAGATAGCGGTACTATAATGAGTTTTTCAATGCAGTTGCTCATAAAGCGCTATTTTTTAATCCATTGTAAACACCGAAAGTGAGTCTTTAAACGCGTGTTAAATAAAAATGTACTGAAATCATTTACTGCACACGTGTTTAAAAGTATTTTTAATTTTTTTTTTTGGCCGAGCATCAAAGAAATTCAAAACAAATTGATGAAAATATGTCAAACTTTAGAGGCAAAAGTATTGCAAGGAGCCTAGAACGAATATTTTCAAATAAAAATGTATGACACGAAAACATGTTCAAATATCACGTTTAATTTTAACAAATAATTTTTACCTTTAATACATAATTAGTTTTATTAACCTATATATTTGTTTTATTTCCTCGCAAAAAGCATTGAAAAATGTAAGAAACTTGAGCGTAAAAGGTTTTTCGAATTCGTCCCAATGAAAACAATTGGCCCTTATTCGTAAAACCTTACTTTCCGCACTCGTATCTTAAACAACTATTATGTATGATGCAGTTGCCGATACTATAATGAGTTTTATTTTAATTTTATGTTTATGCGTATATAAAGTGCGTATTTATAGAATCGTCTTTGAATTCGCAATTCGAATTTTTCGATTTAAGTGTAGATAAACATTTATATATAAGCTGTATATAATAAATGGTCTACCTGTGTGTCGATGCCCATCGCCCAGGCGCGCTCCACCAAGAGCTGCAGGCGCGGGATGGCGGGCACGCCGCCGCCCTCGGCCGCCGCGCCGCCCAGCAGCGCCGCGTACGGCGGGTGCCGCAGCAGCGACGACAGCACCATCTGCATGTTCCTGCATGTGCCGCCACACGCGTGTGAGCTTTACGGACCGCGCTACTTAACGGACTGTGCGCGCGTCACGGTACCGGACCAACTACAGGTCTTAAAATGCCGGTTTTTATTTCACAAAAACCGGTATTTTCGGTTTTTAATATAATAAAACAAAGTTGCGCGCAATTCAATTCAAGCGACACAGAGAAAAAGAGAGAGAGAAAGAGAGAGAGAGAGAGAGAGAGAGAGAGAGAGAGAGAGAGAGAGGGAGAGAGAGAGCTATTTTCATTGTCCTATTCTTGTAAAATTCTTAGTCTACTCATATATAGGGCAAGTTTGACCATGATCTCATATACGGTTTATTCCAAAAAACTATTAAGCAAAGTGCAGAGAGAAAGAAATGTAGGTACCTAAACTTTTTTGCATTTGAGTAGGTCAATATATGTATAGATGTTGTAGTTTATACTTTGTGTATAAATATAATAATTACGTACATAACTTGAAATTAAATAAATTATCTAGTCGATTAAAAATGGTTTTATTTAGAAAATAGTAATTTGCCATTTTTCTGCCATTCTTGTACCTAACTTACCTCTAAAGTTACATTACATGTAAGAAGATGCTATAATAATTAGTGATTTTATTCAAATCCCGAAAATACCGGAATACCGGGATTTATCTGGAGTAAGTACCGAAAATAGCGGTTTCGCAAAGATGGTACTGTATTGCGACCTCTAGTCACGAGACACGCTCCTCTACTTAGCGGACTGTGTGCGCGTCTGCATGTACTTAGGATCTATGGCGCGTGAACGTTCAAAACTTTTTATGCCAATTGGCAGAATGTCTACGCTCCTTTGTCAAATGAAAATTACTTATGGCATGTCTTACAAAATTTTTGTTTTACGTTCACAGTGTGATGTAAGAAAGAGAGAAAAAAATGTTTGGGATGTGTTTCAGCAATATTGTGTAACACTACAAGTGTTTGTTTCGGTGTTCGATTAATACTTTTGTGGTTTCCTTTAACTTTCGAAAAAGTAACGGGTGCTTGGAAAATTTGTCACTTAGATCAGAAAATTGATCAAATATATTATTAGAACAAATTTTAATCTTTATCGAGACTTTCAATGTTTGTGAAAATATTTCTCTCGGCTGTACATTAATGAAAATACTCTTTGTAGTAGTGAAATAATAACAAGTGCTTGAAAAATTGTTTGTGAGGTTGTCGTTTTTCTACCGACTCATGGTCGAAGCTTGGTCACATGGCTTCATCATGACACTTCCATAAAAATTTACAGATCTTAGCTGTTTGGTGAATTTTAACGACCACAGATGCACCCGTTACCGACGACATAACAAGCCTTCCGAAGCACGGAGGAGCTCAGGATAATAAATTTCCGGTCACCCATCCTATGACTGTCCATTGCGTAAGCTCCTTAACTTCGCAGAAAGTACAGCACGTACCTGTACCCGCAGCCCCAGCCACGGTCTCCGTACGTGCTGGCGTAGTGGTCGACGCCGCCGCACAGGTACGTGCGTACTATGCTCGGGTTCTGAGCATTCAGCGACGCTATCCTCTCCAGAATACCTGCCGAATACAAAATTTACTTAATATCCTTTGAATATCATACAAAAATAATGTTTAATAAGTAATTTTAAACTCTCCGAATCTTTTGCATTTTCCGTCGTCAATAGACATAAACGTGAGGTCATAGCCTACTCTACAAACATCGGATCCAGGATTTGGCTTAGGAGGGGCAAATTTAATTTTGTGGATTGGGTCTGGAGCATTCTTTGCGGGATCCTTCAACACATCCTTAACTTCTTCTTGCTTTATTTTCCAGAAAAGAATTATCAATCTATCTGAAGCTAAAACTCATTAATACCTCGCAGGGATATTACGTTATTTTTACGTTTTCTCACGTACATCTCCTGTTATAATGCAGGTCTCACTTACACAATTTTAACGAAAATAATCATTTATCATAAGTCAAGAGGAGGGAGGGGATTGATCTCCCTTTACCCCGCGCATGCCTAAGAGGAATGTCACAAAGTATTTGCTCATAGAAACAATAAAAAAACACAAAATATCAAGTATAATCAATAATACAAGTTTTATAAAAATATCTACATATATAACTTATATGGTGTCTTGAAATAAATACATATATAACAACATCACATACATTGCTCAGATTCCAAGATGAGTAGCTAATCTGAGACAACGAAGGTACCACAACACCTAGACCCGAGACAATATAAATAATATAGAAATAAGAAAAGACGCGACCGCATAGTACCTATGTAATTAAGGTAGATGTATATTTATATATATATATATATATATATATATATACGACGTTCTCGTGTCTAATATATATATATATATATATATATATTAGACACGAGAACGTCACCACAAATTGTATGCAATAGAATAAGAATTCCTGTAAACCTATTTCTTGATCAAGTATATATAGCAACATTATAAAGTACCGTCTGTCCTGGATGAGCCAGTGTCCCTGCCGAGCGCGGAGGCCTTCCGGAGCCCGACGCTGCGCTCGTAGTATCCGGCGACGGAGAGCGCGCCGCTGTACACCGCGCGCTTCAGGCTGTTCGTCGCGCGGTTAGTGTACCCTTCCTCGTCCTCCTCCATGCCGTACTGTGCCTTATATTTATATTAAAAAATACTGATAACAACACATAAAAAACACTTCAGTTGGGCATCAAAAATGTCTCCACTGTAAAGGTAAAAACTTTGCTGCAAATGATTAGTTTTTAAAATTTATTTCCGATTCTTTCGGATAAAGAGAACGGCTGAAATAATGTTTCATTTAGGATTAGCCGTATTTTGGCACTAACTTGGAAAATATTAAATTTTATGGCACTAATTTGGAAAATATTACGCATTGAAAACTTGAGTAAAAGAGAATAATTTATATAACAAAATTTGCTTACATATGGCAATAAATTAGTTACATAAAACGTAACCACTTTCATTATAACAGCTGTAATCATAAACGCACACAACAACGATATTATAAAGAGACACAAACATGTTACTTCTACATTATTTCTCAAATATTAGTGGACTATTAATTTATAATTATTTCTTTTTAACTACCCTATAACAGCTTATAGCATCCACATAAGATACAGCTTCTCGTAAATGAAAGCATTTCAATATCAGTATTTCTAAAGATTACACCCTACAAAAACATAATATTCTTTGTGATATTAGATTGTTTATATAATATTATAACATTATGTAAGTCAGTACATTACATTGAATGATATTTTATACATTACTCGTAACAGCTGGAACTCATGTTCCTCTCTGCTCCTTTGGGCTTCTCTCTCCGCTGCTGTAAGTGCTACTGCTCCACTCTCCTCTCCTCTTTCAAAGTGTTCTTCTATGTGTTGGATCTGAAATAGGCAGTTAAGTTATTATAGATTTACAAGATCTAACATTTTTCAAGATTAGATAATCTTGAAAATTGATGTTTAGTATTCTATTCAAGAAAAAAATATGACAACATTTTTTAAATAAATAAACATGGTAATGATAGGTGAGAAATTAAACTGTACATAGGCTTGCACCTTCTTCTTTACAATACTATCACATATAAATGCAAGGAATGCAATTTACCTAATAATGTTATATTTCAGTGACAAGATGTATGATAAATTGATGACATTGACAAATCCAGTGTAATGTGCCTAAAGTATATTCTACTATTACACACATTATCAAACTAATTAAAGGATAAAATTATTAAGAAAGTCATTTAAGTATTAAAAATACTGCAGATTTAAGATACAATGCAGTCCATCTCATAAAAGACTCTCCTTCAAAATGTGTTTTTATAAAGAGAAGACAAGATTTTTTTATGGTGCCCATGCTCTGTATACTTACATTAGTTTTATTATATTTATTACAATTCCAATGAAAACAATGTGAATAATAAAAGAATAATTAACAGCATAACAGATTACAGAAAAATGGAGTAAGTTATAATCAGTGGTCGGAATTAGGTAGAGTCATTCATGTACTTACACTGATTTCATACAGCGAAAGAATAAAGTAGATATGCCTCAAATCCCGAGATTAATTTTAAAGAGCAGAAAAAATCCTGTGATTTTTCAAATAAAAAGTTATTTACTTTTACACAATTTAAACTACTGCACGCACGACGTTGCCAAACTTACATCAATGACATCGGATATTCAAGATGTCCAAGATTGTCCATTAGAAATCCCGGAAATTCCACATTAATATCAACATTTCGATGCAAGTACATAAATAACTCTACCTAATTCCGACCTCTGATTATAATAAATAGGTTGCCTTGATAATAAATAAATTGTTTATAAGAAAAAGTGTGTCAGTCACGGGTTTTATTTTCAATTAATTTGTACCAATTCATGTTGTGATAGCGGCAGCGGTTGACAGCACACAGGACAGTTGCTAACCGGACTCTCCTCTGTCATCACAACATCCTCACACGAGGCATTGTCTACTTGATCCTAAAATTATCAAATGATTATATTAAGTGCTAGTACTACAAGTTATAAAGTGTGTTTAGGTACGTATTCCAAACTGTGATGATTTCAATGGACATAATTTAAAAGACTAAAATATGATATACAGTTATTATCATATAGAATAGACTATGAATATAGCAATGAATCTTTCAGTGATCACCTTATGTTTTGAGCTTTTTATTCATGCAGTGTCAATCACTGAGATTCTATAAGCGATTTTTATACAAGTTCTCATGAAAATAAATTCTATACACCTAACACTTTTATTCAAATTGTATTATATAGTGCATACCGATTTTTGAGGACTCAAAATATCTCTGTGTTCAACGTTAACATGGACTTCCACATCAGGACCACTAGAAAACTCTTTCTCGCATATGGGGCATTGGAAAGTAGACCCGTGGGGTCCTGGCGACAGGGCCATAGCGCTCAGGGCTAACGTAGGGTTATCCAGAGTCAATGTCGGATTGTTCCCTGTTAATGTTGGGTTTTCGGAGTTAGCGTTCGCATTTCCCAACACAGAAGGAGATGTGAGATCGAAATGTGCACGGTTTATGTGTTCCTCCAGTTTTCTTGGACATGTTGATTTGAAATCGCAGAGGAGGCACTGAAATATTATGATTTTTATTTATTACCAGTCAATTATGTCTAATAACGTTTCGAAGAAATGATATTAAATTGATATTGATATTTCTGATTCTTGATTTTATAAAAAACGAATGAATTAAAAAAATACGGATTTTGTTTTGATTTGGCGGGTAGAACATTTTGTTTTGATTTTTTTTTATTGACAGTGACAGCCAAGTGATAGTTATGATAGTTTTTTAAGCAAAGAAATATTAACGCTATGTATTTGATTCTTATAAGCTAAGAAGTTGGAGATTTTTTTATTAAAAAATTAAATTAAAATAGAAAACTGTTACCTGCACTGTAGGACTAGGTGTAGGCACTGATTTCTTGGGTGTATTAGCTTTAAGTTTTAGTGCTAATTGTGATCTGAGTGGAGAACCCTGACCTGCACTAGCCATTGCTAACTGTTAAAAAAAATATCAGTTATGTAATATTACAATAATAATTATACAGATTTTCATCCTTTTTAATAATCTTACTTTACTCTTGTTAGGTGAGCCTTCATAGTTATTGCTGTTATGGCTTGGACTAGAATGTGCACCTGAAACCCAAATAGTTACGGTTTTAATTAGATTACAATCTAAAAGGATTTTCATATGGATATTACTATTTTTACCTTTCTTTTCATAACCATTAACAGAATCACCATCATTAGAATTTTGCCTACTTTGTATTTTCTTTGGTATCACACCGTTGTTTATGTTAATATTCTTCAGACCATTGGATAAATTTATATTTTTAGGGGACCGTGAGTATTTATCGTCATCTTTTTCGCTCTTATAATCGTTCCTGTAACCCTCTTTTTCTTGGAATCCATTTTGATAGTTAATGTTTTTAGATATAGCTCCACTGTGGTATGATGAAGAAGTGTCTGGACTATGCCAACCGTTGATTGAACCTGGAGTATTGTAACTACAACTATCTGTAGTGGTCATTTTGGAGTCCTCATCGTAACTGAAGAAATATAAGAAAATACCATAGATAATATCAATGGTATTTTATTAACAAAATTAGTAATGTAAGTTGAGGAAATTATACTACCTCGGACTCTGATCATCTATAAAAGCCATCAGTTCCCTCTCTGGAGTGAGATAGTGCAGATGAGCCCTTTGCACATGGCTGACTAGTTGAGGCTGTGGAACAGCACAATCGCAGAAGGGGCACTCTGGTCGCCCGGCTACGTGTGCCTCCAACGTGTGTGACCTCATACCCTCGTCTGTAAGTCCTTCTGCACCACATAATTCGCACGTGTAGGGGAACGGACTTGATGACATGACTAGCTGCAGAATAATTGAGATAAGATTATATAAAATTGGTGATCCAAAAAAGGTAAAATATTTTAAAGAAAAAAGAAAGAAATCCGATTACCGGAACTGGCTGTGTGGTTCAGCGAGAATATGCAATTTCAAGGTCTTTTTTTGTTTACTCGTCAACTAAAATTTGTGGGATACAGAGTGGGCTTGATATTGAAGATCTACTCTGTTTCTTCAACGTTTACGAAGTTGTTATCTATTTTCGAAACGCAAAGACATCAAAGAAACGGAATTAAGGACGGAAGTAAGGCTTGACGCTGCCTCTGAACCACTGTTAATTTTCACGGATATGATTTTAAGATTTATAAGAACATTTTGATATTTCAAAGTCAAAAAAAATCTTTATTCAAATAGACTTATTAAAAGCATTTTTTAAATCGTCTAATATATTTTAGACTAGAATCAGTTCAGGAACTTTTTGGCTGCGAAGAAGAACCAGCGAAAGAAACTCGCCAGCTCTTACAGAAATTACAAAAAATATTTATTATCATTATGAGGTTAATATTATCAATATTAATTAATTATGTGTAACAACTAACAAGCACATATTTATTTTCATAACATAGCAGACTCTCTGTCCCAATAGGTGCAAAAATATTAAAGGGAACAGCGAAGCGGTTCACAGGAAACGTGCTATTATGTATAATTACGTATATAAGTCAGTAGTTAGCAACAAAGGCAGTCATTATGGCTGTGTATGGTAACATACTGAAAGTATTCATTTATTTTTTGCAACTTGCTATGATAATTACTAAGTTATATTATACAACTTACCCGATAATGGGGATTTACTATATAAGTAATCATTTAATTTACGGTTTTCAAAAATCATTTGGATTAGAACTTTAATGCATATAAAGCACATTAAATGATCCAAACAGGCAGATATTCGATGTGCTGATCTACTGACAAGGAAAAGACCCTCTTCCGTATCGGTTTGAGCGGGAGCGACAAAGCATTGCCCATTACATACATTTCTTGCATGATTCCAATTTATTTCGAATTTGCTAGTTATAACTTCAAATGTATATTCAGTGTTGTTGACCATATATAATAAAAAAAACAAAGGTCTTAAAAAAGAACCTTGTGGTACACTGAAAGTAACTGACAAGGGAACATGTAATACTTTTAGCTTGTGTTATCAGGCTAAGCCAATACTAATGCATAAAAAAAAAACAAATAATAGTTTGAATGTTAAATTTAGATGGAAACATTTACAATCAACATCAATTCATCCGCAGGCCTTCATTTACTTCATTTAGTTACTTTTGTAATGCGTGAACCGGATAGGGCACAATCAATTTTCCTGTAGCAGAAGCCCAATAAACTACTTGAACAGTTGCCAAGTCAGACTATCAAATATTTATTGCAGAATCTCAAAGGGGATTGTTTTAAATTATGTCATAAAAGGTTAAATGGCCATAATGGCAATCCTTCATAATGTTATTCTAATAGGTATCTGTATTTATCCCATTTAAATTTCACATATAAAGAAAATTCATTGTTAATTAGAAAAATATTAATAATATAGTGAATAATTATTAAAATTAACTACATATCTTAGAAATCTAAGCCATTTCCTGCTAATGTTTAGAAAAAGACGAGTAAAGAAAAATAAAATAAATATTATACCATCAAAATAGTGAACTGAACTTATATTAATTGTATTTGATTAGGGATAGCCAATGATTAGGAATGTGAAATTAATTAATTAGAGTTTCAATAAAAATCATTCACAAAATGAGTATCTATAAGAGTGAAAGCGTTAAATCGATAAAATTACCGCAGTTTTGTTTTCAAGGGAAATTCGCCATGACTACCATTGACACATGGTATAGATTTGGTTAGCAAAATCATATATACAAATATCTTTTTTAATGCCGAATAAAATAATTACTTGCATAATAGGCTAAAAAAATAAAAATATACTCACTTTTTCTTTATTGTCAAAAGTTACCGGGAAATCCTAGTTTTATTTTTAATTACAACACTACCTATTTGGTTCTTCACTGCTATTAATAAATGTTACAGCTAACATTTTCTAACATTAAATAAGGAATAACATTAATACTACTGGCGAAAGGTTATGGGGTTTCGCCATTCATGAATTTCGAGCATTGAAGATTTTAGGAAAACTTGTACGCATGCGGAAGTTGTGTTCGACTGCAGCGCTTGTAGTGGGCAAGAACAGAAACTTTTGACTATGTTTTTAAAATTACCATGGTGAAATCGATGAATAGCATTGTATAGTACAAGCAATTTATATATTTGGTTGAGTATTATGATTTGGGTAACGAATTTAATGCGACATTTTTCATATTAATATATAGATTTTAGGGTTTCATGCCTTTGCTTACGCTCTTGTATGCCATCTGGTATATTTTTATCGAACTATCATTACTTAATACAGAAACCTTCCTTACGTCATGTTGTTTTTAGTATGAGGTAAAACTTGTTTCAAAGAGATGGAATTATTTACTATTTATATTTAATTCGCGTAATATTAGTGAGTTAAGTATTTTTTTTTGGTAAATAAAACCTAGCTACAAAGAGATGGAATTATTTATTATTTATATTTAATTCGCGTAATATTAGTGAGTTAAGTTAAAGTATTTTTTTTTTTGGTAAATAAAACCTATTATCGTTCCCGAAACCCATACATACTAAATATAAAAATCGTTGGAATTCATATTAATTATAATATATAATACTAGCTTTCCGTTAGCATCTTCGCTCGCGTGGTCTTATATTATATATAACTAACTTTCCACTTGTATTATACATAAAAACATTCCTTTTGAATCACCCTATCTATGAAAAAAAAAATCGCATCAAAATCCGTTGCGTAGTTTTAAAGATTTAAGCATACACAGGGGTATAGGGACATCCCTGTGTATGCTAAGAAAGCAACTTTGTTTTATACTATGTAGTGATAAACCTTCCCCTTAAATAACTCTGTATATTGATGAAAAAACACATTATAAAATTCGTTGTGAAGTTTCAAAGATCTCAGTGTACAGACAGCGGGGAGTAACTTTGTTTTAAGAATTGCTTGTTTAAACGCTATTCTATAAGTTTAAACGTATTAGATACAAGGTGATTAAATGTCTACCTAGGACCTTTTGTCGATGGTAGCTAGGATAAAATATTTTATTGCAAAATTATTGGTAAAATGCTGAAGCAATTGTCGATGTCATCAAAGCCGAATTATTATTTCGAGGACCTATTCTCGAGAGGAATCGGCATTTATTTTACGGGAAGGGGAAACAGAATAAGGAATAGGAACTCGAAAGCCTCCAGATGATGCCTGTCGACGTACTGCATATAGAGTGGTTCTTTATGTAAATACACTTATCATACATTTATACATACATCACTAATATAATATATTTTTAAAAGGTTAGTATATTTACATTTGTTTTCATAATGTTGTATTGATATTTATCTTAAAGATATTATTTAGGTTGATCTTATAGATATTAGGAGATTGATTAGGTTCATAAAAAATCACCAGTCCTAATTCCATTACGGGCAGCTGAATATTTTAAGTTCTTTTCTAATAACAAAAAAGTACCATACATCTTTAAAGTTAAGTACTAAGTAAGCATAAAATTTCGTCGCAAATAAAGTAAGCATATCGTTAGAATCAAACTTGTCCAAAAAGGCGATTTAATAACATATTTTTTATTAATAGTTCATAAAAATAAGGTTTCTTCAAAAAAGTCTCTTGCACTGCCCGGGAATCGAACCCGGCTCGCAAGAATGGGAATCTTGCATGATACCACTACACCAGCAGTGCTTATTGACGAGGTTCTAAAATATTGTATTTAAACGAGTTCAATGCTTATTCATTTTTATGAGGGTATTAATTAATAAATTAATAAACTCTTACAATAACTCAAGTTTGTATGGGAAAATAAAAGTACCGTTTTTACTACAAATATTTTTTCCTCTCAATTTTTTATCCACACTCTCTTCTTCAGTTTCCACAGACTATATTTATTGAATAAATTTGATGAAACATAATGAAAATGAAAATTCGTATGAATTTATCATCACAATGGATAGTTCTCATTAACTTACTGATATCATTCCATCTATACTTATATTTCACATCCACTTAGATTTTATTGATTGTTTCTTTGCATTGAATAGGCTCCGAAACTACAAGACCGATTTTAAAAATTCTTTCATATGTGGGACATCATACGTGGACGACGTAAGGGGACGACGCGGGACAAGTAGCGGGGAAACGAGAACCCTACGTATTTCTAATATCTACATATATAAAATTTCATTTCATAGTTTTAGTTGTCATACTTCTCCGAAACGACTCATCTGATTTTGATGACATTTAGTTTAGGTACACAAAAAATGTCATCAAAATCAGACGAGCCGAATATTTGATATTTAATAGGTATGAGAACTGGTTGTTATTTATTTTTTAAAACCGCCAGTGACAAAGTTGGTCCACTCCAAATGTAGGGATGGCAACAGCGTTGCTGGCTCAGCGAGTATGTAAAAGCAGGTGTAACCTTTTAAATGTTACCATTAACAATATATTGTTTTTTAAATGGTTTACAAAAATATCCTACATTCGTATGTGCCGCTGTTTTTCCGCTGACTAATTTTTTTCATTATTTTTTTGTGGCAGTACTGGCTGTTTCCTGCCTGTTCGACTTTCTAATTTATGTGGCAGGTTGTTTCTGTTTCGGGAGGACCCCGAAACCGGAAAAGCCTAATAATATATTACACAATTTACTAGTGAATGTCTACGGTGTTACTTACCGTACTTCCTTTTAAAATTACATATTTAAAAACAATAACCATCTTTGATCCAATCGGAATGAGCCTATACCCTATAGAACTCTTTGTAATTTTTTTTTTAATAATGAGGAGCAATCCTTTTATGAGTATAATATTCAGGTGTGAAATCTAAAAGAAATACAAACTCGAATAAG